GTGGCCTCCAACCTAATAGCGATGGCCTCCAACCTGGTAGCTTCTTGCTACTAGTAGTAATGGCCTCCAACCTAACAGCGATGGCCTCCAACCTAGTAGCTTCTTGTCACTAGTAGTAGTGGCCTCCAACCTAATAGCGATGGCCTCCAGGGCCTCCAACCTAGTAGCTTATTGTTACTAGTAGTTGTGGCCTCCAACCTAATAGCGATGGCCTCCAACCTGCTAGCTTCTTGCTACTTAGTAGTGATGGCCTCCAACCTATTAGCGATGGCGTCCAACCTGGTAGCTTCTTGTTACTACTAGTAATGGCCTCCAACCTAGTAGCTTCTTGTTACTTAGTAGTTGTGGCCTCCAACCTAATCGCGATGGCCTCCAACCTGGTAGCTTCTTGTTACTATTAGTAGTGGCCTCCAACCTAATAGAGATGGCCTCCAACCTAGTAGCTTCTTGTTAGTAGTATATAGTAATGCCCTCCAACCTAATGGCGATGGCCTCCCACCTGGTAGCTGCTTGTTACTAGTAGTAACGGCCTCCAACCCAATAGCGACGGCCTCCAATAGTAAAGGCCTCCAACCTAATAGCGATGGCCTCCAAGCTGGTATCTTCTTGCTACTAGTAGTAACGGCCTCCAACCTAATAGCGATGGCCTCCAACCTGGTAGTTTCTTGATACTAGTAGTAACGGCCTCCAACCTAATAGCAATGGCCTCCAAGCTGGTAGCTTCTTGTTACTAGTAGTAGAGGCCTCCAACCTAATAGCGATGGCCTCCAAAGCTGGTAGCTTTTTGTTACTAGTAGTAACGGCCTCCAACCTAATAGCGACGGCCTCCAACCTAGTAGCTTAGTAGCTTCTTGTTGAGATTTTCATGTTCAGTCATGCCACTTCATGCCATGATCCTGTTGCCATTTAACCTCCAATGCACTAGAAGGGTGGGCACATGTCGACATCGACGCCTTTGGAGAAACAGGCTGCATCGAGTGCAAGCGTTTAGATCCAGGGGCCAGGCTCCGTCGAGGGGCCGAGAATCGCATTGGTAGCGCGGCAAAGGTTAGCGCCGCTGCGCTCGACGCTGCCTGATGGACTTCGAAGACTTCGATGAGCTCTACGAGGCCTTCGACGCTGATGGCGCGGACGAGAATGGAGACGCCGCCTTCAATGGCGCGATCCCAGCTGACCACATGGAGGAGGATGATGATGATGACAACCAGGTCTATGACTTCGATGATGACCGGGTGACTGGACCTGCACGGCCGTTGGGACCTAACGGAAGCCCTTCCTCTTCAGCAGCTCCTTCAAGGAGAAGAGGATCTAGAGGCTCACGATCTTCACAACATGGCCAACCAGGCCCAAGCTCTCGCAAGTGGCGATCAGGCCACATCCCTGCCCCGCCGACCTTTGCGGGGAACGTGGAGGACGAGCCCTATACTGCTTGCGACATTACCGTCGCGCCCTGCGACGGTGGACGACGATTACAAGAGAGTTTTTGCCGGCCAACGAACAGGCCCTGAGAGCGCTCGACGCGCTCACTGGCGAGGCCGCCTTGGAGCTCGAGGAGGTGGACGATGAGCGCTACAACACGGACACCGGGATTCAGCAGCTCCTTGATGATCTTGAGATCAGCTTCGGCGAGCGCGAGCTGTTTCGTCGCGGAGGACTGATCCGCGAGTAAATCCCTGACAAGGGTCCAGGGAGAGTCAGTCTGCGCCTTCCTCCGGAGGTTCAGACTCTATGAGAGGAAGCTCAAAGACGCTCAGGTCCCGCCCTATCCGGACGAGACACGAGCGTTCAAGCTGCTCGATGGTCTACGCCTTGACGAGCGAGCCACTTCGCAACTGCTCCTAGCTGCCGGCAATCGCTACAGCTTCCAAGCATTGGTTGAAGCGATCCACATCCAATATCCAGCAGGGCTGACGTTGACGGGGATGTCGCGACATCCAGTCCCTGTTCACGTCGCTTCAGCTCCACGACATCGAGGCCGAGGACATCAACCTCGAGGTCGAGGACGAGGCGGAAGTTTCCGCTGGAAAACATGGCACACTGATGCCATGCCAGTGGACGACGACCAGGTCTTCATGACTGCCGGTGATGAAGCCCAGCAGTATGAGGACGACCCGAACGACGACACCTTCGACTATCAGTTCGCGGACTATGATGAGCAGGCTGAAGACTACACAGCCGCTCCAGAGGAGTTCGAGCCTGAGGAACTCCCCGAGGCCGGCGATGACGCTGGCGATGAACACCAGGCCATGACGGCCACAAGCAAGCGCCTGGCTGCGACCGTGCAGTCAAGGGGCTACTACACCACTGTCAAAGACAAAGGCAAGGGCAAAGGCCATGGAAAAGGTGCTGGCAAGGACAAGGGCTTCGGCAAGAAGGGAGCTACATCCTCTTCTTCGCCTACGACCACTTCCAAAGGAAAAGGGTCCGGCAAGTCCAAAGCCGGTTCAAAGGGTGGGAAGTCCAAAATGAACCCCACTCAGAGACAGCGTATGCAGGCCAGCCTTTGTTTGGGCTGCGGAGCCTCAGATCACTGGCTTCAAGAATGCCCACATGTCACACAGCACCAGGCCCATGTGTGTTCAGCTTCATCGACCTTGGATGGAGACGGCACGGTGGTTTGGATGACAAGTCACAACAAGATGCCAGGTTGGCAGCCGGAGTCACCTCCTTCATCTTCGGCACCTTCAACTTTGAGCCGCCGAGATGAGGAAGAGCCACCACCGCCTCCTCCAAGGCGGGAACTGCCGGCAGAGGACGCTCTGCCGCCTTGGGATGCTTTGATCCCTGAGGGCATGAACCCGGATGACCATGCTGACTATGAGGACGGCATGGCCTTTTGGAGGCACAAAACTACATCGCGCTAGCAAGCACACCTGAGGCCCTGACCCAGCAGGCCGACGCCAGTTTGCTGGACTGGAAATCCTACCGGCACCAGAGAGTCCTCCGGTCGACCCTGGCCGCAGAGGCCGCTTCTTTGGACAAGTCCGAGGACTACGCCAACTTCGTATAGGTTGCATGCTCGGCGAGATGGCCAACGGCACCTACATCGCGAAGTCACCTTTCGCCATTTGGCCGGTGACAGATGCAAGATCGTTCTACAATGCGATCCACAGACTGGCAACCTCCTTCTCCGAAAAGCGAGTGGAGATAGATGTGGCTGCTTTGCGACAGACATGCCGCAGCTTGCGATGGGTCCCTACGGAAGCCATGCTAGCAGACGCGCTAACAAAGCGCAACAGGCAGCTGAGAGATCAGCTGAGAACCTGGATGGAAGATCCACGAGTCAGCCTGGTAGAAGCCCAAGAACCGGGAACTGACGGAAGTGGAGCATGGAGGTCAAAGGCAAAAGAAAACAATACCAGTGAGATTTTCATGTTCAGTCATGCCACTTCATGCCATGATCCTGTTGCCATTTAACCTCCAATGCACTAGAAGGGTGGGCACATGTCGACATCGACGCCTTTGGAGAAACAGGCTGCATCGAGTGCAAGCGTTTAGATCCAGGGGCCAGGCTCCGTCGAGGGGCCGAGAATCGCACTTGTTACTGGTAGTCGTGGCCTCCAACCTAATAGCGATGGCCTCCAACCTGGTAGCTTCTTGTTAGTAGCTTCTTGTTACTTAGTAGTTGTGGCCTCCAACCTAATCGCGATGGCCTCCAACCTGGTAGTTTCTTGTTACTATTAGTAACGGCCTCCAACCTAATAGCGATGGCCTCCAAGCTGGTAGTTTCCTGTTACTAGTAGTAACGGCCTGACAACCTAATAGCGATGGCCTCCAACCTGGTAGCTTCTTGTTACTAGT